ACTTAAGGATTCTAAACATCCTAATTATTCATTGCAGTGAGTTTATAAGCGCTTTTCACAACTCTGCAGTTTTGCCATGATAGTGTAACTAATGATAACTAGCATGCTAATACACACTTCCTGATTCCTGATATAACTACCTGCTTATATAATATTAGCCAGGCTGGTGCCACCTAGTGCCTCCGCTCAATTTCATTTCTCTTCAGCGACTTGGTCAGGAATCGGAATACACTAGACGGTTTACAAGAACCCCAAAAGTGCGAGTCCAGGCACCGACCAGTCAGCGAAGAGCCATACATTCTGTTTGGCAACAATTCCCGAGATCGAGAATTGAAAGCCTGAAAAAAGAGAATGTTTGGTGAATTTTATCAAGGACAAAGACGTTATTGTTCTTCTTCCTTCGTTTCCACGAAGTGAAACTGTCTGATGAATCAGGCTAATATAATATAGCCGTACTGGGGGGGGGGATCATTATATATGATCTCAAATACATGGGAAAAACTCAGGTACAGGCTCTTTAAACTACAATTTCTGCATTTCACATGTGTGTACATATGATTCAGTGCTTCGTACACCTACACTATAGGAACTAAAGTGCCCCTATTTCTGTAACACACAAGTGCATCGAGTCCACACTCTTAAGACCTCCCACTGTACTCTATGCCACTCATCCCCTGTCTGTTCCAACTACACTGAAGTATTATCTCAATGTTCACCTTGTAACTCAAGTGTTGTCGTGCTGCGAGTCTTCTACTTTGTCTTGGAGAGAAGTTTAAGGGCACAGTCGACACCCAGCTTGCCCTATCCAATTCAGCTTGTTCCGAAAATGGATACTTAAACGAGACCGTGGTTTGGGCGGAGGAGGTGGGGAGTATGAGCGAAATGGTGAGGCAGGGCGAGAATGGTTTCTATCGTCGCCGATGTTAGAAATTGGGGGGGAGCAGTCTGGAAGGAGATGGCGAGAGAGAAGCAATCAATAGACTCTTACATTTCATAGTGCAGCGAGTGCGTGTGAGTGTGTGTACGTATGTGTGTGTGAGTGTTTAAACCAGAGCTCGTGTGTGACTCTGGATCACATTCCCAAGCAGCAATTCTCCCTGACTGATGAGACAAATTCAAATGTCACTTCACTGAATGTAACTGACCCTCTGCCAAGATGGGTTATTTGACTTGTTCAATCCAACAGACCAGAGACAGGCATTACTTTAGATTACGGGGTAAGGTTTTTTGTTTTGTTTTTTGTTAAGTGAAAGCTATGGGACTTTGTAAGCTTTTGAGATCAAAGACAGAGATGCCGGGATCTTATAATGTATTTTGGACAAACCTTCATACAGTATATGCAGAAAGAACAAAAATGTGGCTGTTTGCTGCAGGTGTTCCAATCAGTAGGAGCAAGTAGAGGGTGCTCTTGGAAAAAAGGATCAAAACTCAAACTCAACAGATTCCAAGCACTCCAAAACAGTAGAAAAAATTAACACATCGCATGAGGAAAAATATAATTAAAAGGCCTTTATTTGAATGGCCAAAGCCAGCATGTTTCAACCTTAACTGGTCTTCATCAGGGCTTAATTGCTATTACTATTAAGCCCTGATGAAGACCAGTTAAGGTTGTGTTCTGTTGTGTTTGAGTTTTGATCCTTCATACAGTATATTCCATTTATACTGGATCATGAAAAAGATCCATTATTGATACTTTGCAGTGACCTTATGCTGGCGTTACCATGATGATACAATGCACACATTAGCAAAAACTGTTTGAAGATAGTATACTACACAACATATTTCATCAGGACCCCGTGATCAATACGAGGGTTCGTGGTCCTGTTTAGGTGTTTGATTTTTAATAAAACTGTTGGCTGCTTTGTGGCTGTAATGTTATTTCAGAGAGACTCAATTTAACTAACCTGTTGTAAATGGTCACATTTTTATACAGCGCTTTTCCACCTTCAAAGTGCTCAGAGGGCTTTCGAACAAGGAACCACTCACCCATTCATACACCAGTGCATGCAGACACTCGGGGTGAGAGGGATTAAGTGTCATGCCCAAGGACACAACGACAGCATTCATCATTCATGTGAGAGCTGGAATCACACTATCCAACGGGTGGGTCAGTGGATTTGATGGCTCAACCAGTTATGTTTTATGTTGAGAGTGGGATTCGAATCCAACAAACGCTTGACCAACTGAGCCACTGTCACCTAGCAGTTCCAAATAATATGGATCTTTCTGGTCAAAATGTGTTAATATAAAGATCAGATTAAGTCTAATTTGAGTAATAGAGCTTCAGGCAGAGCAGTGTCTACAGTTAGCATTGCACCCCCTGTTGATGAGTTATCAATTAGAAACCATCTTACTGAGTGGAATCTGTCCGCATAGATTCTTACAATAGTTTGGGTTCTTGAAATGGCAACAAACTTGTGAAACTTTTATTGAGCATGGGCAGTAGTTGTCTACCATGTGAATCAATAAAGTTAGTGTAAGGGTACCACTGGGTATAAAGAAACACCATTATTCCTGCTTGCACTCCAGTTGTTTTGGGAGGTCAGACATCAGTGCAGTTTGTTAAAAATGACCATGGTACATTTGTTAAAATGTTGTGTCGACTTTTACAGACTGTATTCTCTGGTGGCGGATTCTCACCTCCATCTGCCTTAAGGAGAAACACTCAAAAATAAGTTTTACTTATTTTTATTTTTTACTAACTTATACTTCACAGCAGATGCAGTGCAATGCTTTGTCTGAAGCTGTTTTGCTCAAATTAAACTTTATTCTGACCTTTTATTTAACACCGTCACCAGAAAGAACTGATTTAGCTGGAACTAAATTTCAGATAATCTTAAAACTTTTTGGCTGTTTGCTATTGTGACTACTGTGTCATGGTAACTTCTAAATATTCCATAATACATATTCACGTAGAACACTCCCACCGTAATGTTACTGCAAAGTATTAAGTCTAAACGCCATCACATACTACAGGAGAATTTGTCCAATTTCGACTGTGATTTGTTTCTCCCCGAGTTCAGGGAGGTGTGATTTCATTTTGTGTCGCTGCTCCTCATGTGTTCGGTGTTGGTGTGACACTGAGCTGCTCTGTCAGAGTGTAACCACCAAACATCAGCAACTCTACAACAACAGTCAATAAAACATGCGTCAGGGGCAGAGGAGTGATGGACACAGGAGCGCAAGATACAAACTCGGGAAATAACAAAAATAATGAGAAGACTTTATTACGCATCTCTCGTAAAGTTGTAAAGTTAAACTGCAGCATCTCATCCACATTATCCACAGACATTGTCCTCTGCAAATAATGACATCCAGTCCACAAATCATCATTTGAATCCAGTTTGAGGTGTTCTTTGAAAGTAAAAAGGCAAGAGTAGTTCCTCTCATGTGTCTGTTTATAACCACGTGGCTCACGGATCGAGGTGAAGGTGCAGATTAGCGATAGTGACTCTACTTCCCGTGTACTTCGTTTTGTGCATTAAAAACCATGTAGCTGAAGTACTGCACCACATTTCACAAATAATAATAATACAGTTTTGACTTGTGTCTAAACTACAAGTGCAGTACTCTGATCTTTTGAACACTTAAGAGTCTCAAAGCAAGTCGTTTTACTCTAGACAGGAAACAGCTGACGCGATCGTGCTCACTACTTCATAACCTGTGGTATGCAGACATGTCTCGCAGCTGTCTTTGCGATCTAAGATTTTAAGTCTCATAAGATTTTCCTCATGTTTGTGGTGTGCACTTTTTGTCGCACATCTAAAAATCGCTTAAGACCGAAAACAAATCTTTAGCAGCCTTAAAGCGAAGACTATGCTAAAAAAAATATATATTAATGTCCTTGAGCTATATTTCTTATTTAGTTATTTACTTACTTATTTGATCTTACTTTTTAATTACAGAAAGAGTTATTAAGTTTTTTTAAGAATCAGCTTGTGTAGACATCTATTAGAACATGGGATTTTGTTATGGAACTGCAGACAGTTTTTATAATAAGTTTTTATAATCTGAGTAGCATAGCTTTCACTTTCATATTGAACATTTTGGTTGCATGTATTTCAACCTTGGTGAGTCAGCAAGGACATTTTTTATAAAACTGAAGAAGCCTCTTGGATGAGTGGTGAAACTTACTCACATCCAAACTTTTCTGCAGTTGACAAAATGAAACTTTCTTAAGAACTAAAAGCCATGTAATTTGAGACAGGTTTGATCAAAACTGAATCAATTCCTTGTAACTTTTGTGGTGGAGGGTCCTTCAGCATCCTCTCTCCATGGAAATGTTGCCTGGAATGTCCTACAGTATGGCATTACACTTATTTATCTCTCCCGCGACAACAGGAGATGCTACCGGGCCACGTTACATCAGATCTGTGGAGAGGCAAGCCCCCTCACAATAAGAATGCACATTTTTAAGTCAATAAAAACCCATGTTATCAAGTAAATGCAAGATGGATACGTTTATGCAATGCCGGGACATTTCAGACAAAGCAACAACATCTCCATGGAGACAAGCGTGTGACAGACCCTCTACCAGAAAAGTTACACAGTCCATCTTTGAAAAGACAACTCCATACTCCGTAACCAAAACTTTAGAAAACTAGTATCGATGGAGAAACGTGCATGCAATAAATCCCCTGTCCACAAAGTGTTCTGATGGCATGACAAATTCAAAAACCAGCGTGAAACTTCTCGCGTTTTCATTTGAGAAAGAGTTGCTGGGTCTGTATTGATTTAGCTGTCCACTGGCGCACTTTCAAGAGGACTTTCCCATTACAGCCAATTACTTTGTTTCTCTAGTCTAAAGGTTGGACTTAGAGTGGGCAATTAGAACCAGTGTGGTGTACTCACTGAATCTTTAATGTCACAATAGCATCACCTGTCCTCAGTAATTGATTGCACTCCCTTCTGGCTTAGGCGATGACTTTGACATTGTTTTTCTTCTTTTCTCTCCCTCTCTTTTCTGTCTCTTCCTCCTCTCCTTTCATCTTTCGCTGCAGGCCTGTAGATTCTGCTGAAAACCTCCCGTAGTCCCTTTTTTTGCAACATCGGAAAGCAGCGACTTATCTCCCCCTACGCAAACCCAGGCTTAGGAGAGCAAAAGAGGATGGAGGACACAATAAAAAACAAAAGAAGAAGAATGGAGGAGGAGTCTTCTCACCACGACAAATCAAATAAGGAAACAACACAACCCCCAGCGGCGCACTTGGACTTTTTGAAGAAATGTCACTTACACAAAATCCTACAGACTTTTTTTTGGTCTATTGTCACCTCTTAATGATATGTTTAAATATATTTTAGAACCTCTGTAGATTTCCCTCTTTTCTTTAAATCATTTTTTTTCCTTATTTCAGCTCATAGTTCATACACTGGGTATTAGCATTGTCCATGGCACCTTGCCAGGAGATACTTGAAACATCATGTGATCCATTTTGTAATATCACATAAAGCTATAATCGCTAAATAGCTAAATACAAGCGATACATCATATTTCATAGCTACCTCTTTTGTTTTTATTCTCTTCAGTTACCTAAAAACCCACATCTTTCTCATTTCACGATTGACCTCTTCGCCAGGCCGGCAATAGCAAAATGGCAACGCTTGCTGGCCAACTGGAATTGCATTTATTTCTGACTTTGATATTTTCTGTTTTATTGATCATAGACTGTGTTCCATCTGATTTTTAGACGGAGGGAACAAAGCGTATGTCTTTGTCTGCAGTGGTTGTGATTTTTTTTAGGACAAGATGGTAGCCATAAGCCTTTTAAAAGTCTGTATCTCTCTCTGGGGTTTGCTCCAGTTTGCTTCTGTTTTTATTAGTTGTCATGGAGTGGATAACCGTATATCTTTATAGTAACGGTGAAAGTGAAACCTTGAAAAAAATCGAAATATTTTATTTTTTACCATTGTATAAATATACAGTATTGATTAACTTATGTACTTTGGTCGCCCACAGTGAGTAATAAAGAAAAACAAACCTCTTTTATGGTGGATTTTAGGCACTATTTCTAATGATACACATGAGGAGGAGTTTTGTGTAATATCTCATTGTTTTTAGGTTTTTTGGACTGTGAAACATTGCAGAATCAGGAGTGTGTCCATTTGTTTCAGTTCAATTTGTCTATGTCTCTTCTGCCCTTTTCAAATCCATAAATGTTTGAAGAACAACTGAGCAGGTTTGCAAAGGCTGTGACTTTGGTGCATAGTTTGAACTCCTGTTTTCTCTCCAGCTCATAAAGAAGCACGTAGTGAGACTGTGGGTCTGTGTGGAAGACCACCTTTAAAGAAAAAAGATGACATTTTGAATGAGTTATGTCTGTCTTTTGCACTAATTTAATAAAGCCGTTACTGAAAATTCCCACAATGCCTTTTGACAAATGTCTGTTTACTTATGGGACAGGTTTTCAGACCAGCTCTACCGAATTGCCTGCTAATACGCTGTTCAGGGATTTCTACTGACCTTTATGCCTCCATTTTGCAGCACTGTCCCTTGGCCACTCTATAGCTAACCCGACTGCTACCACCTATATTCATTTGTTCAACTTCCTCTCTATTTTCACTGGCAAAATCACCCACTGCAACCTGCCTTTTGTCCTATACAAGTCAATCAGCTTCAATCTTTAGTCCCCGGTTCAAAAAGGCCGCTCACCGGTGGCAGGTATTTATTGGTGGCAGTGATGAAAACGCTCAACACTGAGGGACTTGCAGGATTTTTACCCTCTACTTTTTGCCCTGTGATGTGAAGCTGGCAGGTAAGTAGCCAGTAAATTGCTATACGCGATTCGACAGCAAAATTGGACCGCTTTGTTGATTGTTCCTGTGAGTCCTGGTGTCTTTGTGACATGGAACAAGAAGCAAAAAACTCAAGTGTTTGCCAGGTGACTTGGGTCCAGCCGGGCCACTTGAGTGCATTCTGAGAGCAAAGCTGTTGACAAACTCATTCTTATTATGATGGTACATGTACATTTATGTCATAATTACTGTGGTACCTTTGTAACTGTTCTGGTGGATGATCTGCACCTGCTCCAGACTCCACAGTTATGAGAAGATGACAGGTGACAGCAAGGTGGGACGACAGGAGGAATGTTTGTCCACTGATCCGAAGGTTGGAGGTTCGAATTCTGTTGTCTACAGCATTAATGCTCCTACAGACTATTGCTATCATTGTGGTGTCCCAGTGTGTGTGTGTATGGGTGTGTGTGGGGGGTGAGTGTGTGTATGCGTGTATGTGTTTGTGTGTGTGGTTTCTTGATGTAAAGACGCTATGAGTGTCTTGAAGGTTGGAGCGCGCTATAGAAAAATGTGACTATGTGAATGCCAGGCCAAGTTACAAATTAGATCTGTGGCAAGGTGACCCCTCTCACAGTAAGAATGAAGTAAGAAAGTAAGAAAAGTAAGAAAGTAAGAAGTAAGTAATTAAGAAAACATGTGTGACTAACTTATAACTTAATAAATACAAGATTAGTTTGATCTTATGCTGTGGAACTTTCCATGGAAATAAGCAGCTAGCAGACACTCCACCAGAAAAAGAAAAAATAGCATAGTTCCCTTTTAAATCTACTCCACAACGGTAAGTTTTGAGGTATTTTAAGGGCAGCTATTGAACACAGCTATTGTAAGTAACACTTAGCTTGCCATTATCTCGGACCTATACTTGCAACGCCGTTGACAATTTTCGCAGTTAGAGTGTGAAACTGCTCCGCCACCTGCCGTATACATTTTAACCATGCATTAGCACTTACATTAGTGTACATTTATGTGTTTATATTATAGCAACCACAACCATAGAGCACCTACTGCTGCTTGTGTGTGCGGCAGTCATAAAAGATTGTGTAGTACATTACTGTTTCCAAATATTCTTAAAACAAATCAGTGTAATTGTAAAGAGCAGTGAGAGCAGCATGCAGGCTCAGGTCTGTAGCATGGTTGTAACTCGTGGCAGTTTAAAAGGTTGGTCACGTAAAATGTGTTTATATGTGTTTTTAAAGTAATCAATAAAATCTCCACACTCAATCTGAAAGGCACTTAGGGCCTCTGAGCTGCACAGTTCGCACACATTAGCAATGGACAGAAAGATGAAGATAGCAACTTTTTACCCAACTGTTTTAGAGTCAAAACGTTTAACTAAGTATATTATGTGTGGGCTTGACTTTCACTTGTTTTCAAGTTTTTATATTTATGTACTTTTAACTTTTACATTTAAAGTTCCTAGCCACACACAGGTTTAACCAGTCACAATCGTAGTTTAAATCTTTTGTAACAAAATATATCTGGTTATGAACTTAAAGGTGCTCTCTTTTCTGGTAGGAGGTTTCCATCTACATGTCTCCATGAGGTTAGTACTCTACCTGCGATGTTCCCCAATATGGCATTAACTTATCTGTTGCATTTATTCAGTTACAGGTATTTTTTATTCTTAAAAACTACCTACATTTTACTCTAAGTGGGGTTACCGCTCCACAGATTTGATCTATAATTTGGTCTGGTGACAACACTTGTAGATATATTTACATGGTGCTGAACATTCCAGACAAAGCAATAACATCTCCATGGAGACACTATCAGACCCTTCACCAGAAAAGTTACATAGTGCACATTTAAGTTAAAGAGGGGATTTCATTATAACTTTACATTTGACTTATATAAAAGGTCAGTGTTAGTAGGCCAAAATTTGAATCTGTCAGTAAGATGGATATTGGTAAAGATGTTTTTTGACAACCTACTGTTATGTTGAAGAGGATCCATTAATAAAAGCTAAAAGCAAAAAGCAGCACAATGTTGATGTTATGCATATTTATGTGAGATGTCTGCCCAGAGGAATATTGAATTGTAACCAGCCAAAGCTTTTAACTGTTTATAAATGAATTTAGAGATGTTCCAATCATATAGCAGACAGAGGAGAGAGGGGAGTCATTTTCCACAAAGCCCTGTAGACAGGCCAGGGAAAATGGGGCCAAGCTGGAGTCACCTACAGGAGCACCCATGGGACCCAGCGCACTCTATAAAGGCTGCGTCTGGGATTATATGGCTTCCCCTGTGGAACAATGTGCAGTGAACATGTCAGCATTTCTTTGTGTCACTGTAGCAACTCATTAAAAAACACTTTATTTTAACATTTTGCATAAGTGAAATATGGTTTATAGTGTACTGATTGTTATTAAAGTTATTCTAAGTTCAAAAAAAAAAATGTCATGTTTGTCTTATCACACTGACTCAGAGAACAAATTCATATATTTTTATTAAATCAGAATTACTCACTTGCTTTAAATTGGATCTTTGAACTACAACTTAACAAGTAATATATATACGTGCACTATACCAGTGAGCACTGAATGACATGTTTTGATCGCAAAGATACTGCAACTTGGTATTAAATCCTCTGAATGATTTGATATTGTTTTAAAAAATAATCCCACTCTACATCACACTATAATTCACTTTTTATAACATGTGTAAAGGTTAAAGGTTGGCTGTCTGGATTTACTGACTCCTTTTTTTACAGCATCATCTTTGTTATCTCTGTATTTGATCCTTGTATTGTACATCAAACACTACCAAACATTTTCACATTTTTATTTTATTTTTTTGTCTTTATTTCCTTGTTCTGATTATTCTTTAAATTTATGTTGACATGTTTACATATGTGTCAGTGAAGCTGTCATCTGTGGTTGTATTTATAGCATCCTTGCATTATTATTATTATAGTCTGCATTAGTCACTGGTCCATTCTGTCTTCTACTATTTCAATGTTTTGCTATTTCTTTAACGGTTCTGTATTACGCAAAATCACAAGTTTAATGTTACAGTGTTATCTCATCAAAAACATACCAGTAATTGTGGTTTGTTTAATCTCCACATGACTGAGTAATTCTGTATTATTAGTCTGTCTAAAATCTCCAAAGCGCAAAATGCTCTGTTCCACATTATGGTGTAATGAAGTGACAGCTACATTTTACCTTTAGTTCAGTATAGATTGGCAATTCCAGAGCTGAAATGATCTAAGGCTACGTTCAGACTGCAGGGCTTAATGCTCAATTCTGATTTTTTTGTGAAATCCGATGTTTTTGTGAGGTCGTTCACATTTCCAATTAAATGCGACT